TTTTTTTTTTTTGAGAAGTTGTCACTTTATATTTCAAAAGAAACGTGGTCGAGGCCGGGGACCTCACAATTCTAAAGCCTGCTGGAAACCGGGTCCAGCGTCCCACGACCGCCCAATCTCAATAGGACAGAACTCCTCAACGTAGCCTTGAAGCACAGGAAAAGGTGGCTGAACTAATCCATAACAAGCCTCTCCAATCCTTCAGCCTATAACATGATATCCTTGCAGCGCAGAAGAAAAAGTACAACGCCGGCATGTTTCTAAAGTCGAAACACTATTGGCAAAAGCTACAAATTATAATCTGGAAAACTCAAAAACGTGCAAGGCAGTTCACGAAGAAATTAAACCAACTTCGAAAAATCTACACGATTCAAATACAAAAAGGCAGTAAACCAACTTCGAGAGATCCACACTATTCCAATATAGGAAACGACAGTAACTACAAAACAGTTCCAAAAAAAAAAAAAACTACGTAGACAGCTCTAAATTCCATAGGGTTTCGGAGCTTAGAGCAGCCACGTATATAAGGTCCACTTCCCCAGGCGACGTTCCCACCGCCACAAGTAAGTCTCCCACACCCACTAATGGTGCCGCCACCCCAAAGGACTACGGAGCTTCATCAATCCAACCACGAACTCATATCTTTAACAAATTAATTTCCCGGATACTGCCGTAGATAATTCAGTGGTAAATTATGTGCAGAAATTCCCAGAATACCCGGGGTCGAGCGCAAAGCACTCCCCGTACCACTCAAGGCTTGGGTGACCCTATAACACTATTTCCTGGGCTTACAGAACAACCACTTTTATGAGAGAAACTACGATATCTCCCTACACAATTCGAATACAAAAAACGACAGTAAGAACATAAACAGTTCAAAAATTAGCTACGTAGACAACTCTAAATTCCATAGGGTTCGGAGCTTAGAGCAACCACGTAAGGAAGGTCCGATTCCCCAGGCGACATTCCCACCGCCACTAGTGAGTCTCCCACGCCCACTAATGGTGCCGCCACTCCAAAGGACTTCGAGACTCCACAGACCCAGCAAGGATCTCATCCCTTTATCGTAATGATATCCCAGATACTACCGTCAGTAATTCAGTAGATATGCACCCAAACAGACTTCGATAAATCTACACAATATCCAATAAAGAAAACAACATTAACAACAAAAGCAATTCCAAACTTCAACTACGTAGCCAAGTCTAAACTCCATAGGGCTACAAGGCCCAGCAGGGAACTCGTGTCTTCATCATATTAATTTCCCGGAGACTGCCGTAGATATATACCTGAAAAGTATACGCCCGGATGACCATAGATGGAGCGTGGAACACTCCCCGTACCACTCAAGGCTTGGGTGACCTATGGTACCACTCAAGGCTTGGGTGACCTATGGCAAACCTGATCAAACGAAAACCCTCCCTGAACGTGAAACAGATGAACAACGTACTGCCTTGCGACGAAGATAGTCAATCGAGACTTGCTGCCGCCCTTCAGTGCGCCGGAACGCTGCCACCGCAGCCGCACGCTCTCCCACTGCGTCCAGATACGCCGCTCCGCTTTAGTGAACAAGGCAGTCAAACTATCGTGTCATGCAGCATGCGGTCTTTAGATATTGAAAAAGGAGCCCCCCCTTTCCAGCCAAAGGTTGAGGGGAAGGCGGCTCCTCCGATGTCAAGGTCTTATAGGTGTGTAGGTTGGTATGAGGATCGAGAAAGGAACTGCCAGGATGCCAAGGCATAAGAGTGCAAAGGCACTCCCTACCCACTCAAGGGTTAGGCTATGCCAGGGCACTGTCGCCATAGCTCTCACACAGCTATGGTGCCTGGCAGGGTAGGTGCCACGTAAGAATGATGGAACGCGAAGCTCATACGCCACACCTACACAGCCGCGACTAACTACGACCGGGCGCCGCCACCGCCGCTGCCGCAGCTGCATTAACGCACACTCGCGCTGTAGTTAGTCGCAGCCACCGCCGCTGCCGCAGCTGCATTAACGGGAGTGCTACCCCCTCCGATTAGAGACAATATTCTGGACCCAGCTAAGCTGTATTTGTGGTGTGTTGCAGTCTAAATATACAGCTATAATGACGGTACGTTGTATTCGGGGGAAGAAGGTAGGCCCTCAAAATCGCAAAATTCCAAAATGAGCCGTCAGATCCAGTCCTTCCTTTACAAGGACTCGATCTGGGCGCTCATTTTGTGATTTTGCGAGTCTGAGGGCCTAGTGTTGTGAGTATGCTCTCAGTCTATTGGTGGGGACCGCCACCTGCCTCCTGAAGTGGAACCCCCTAACTCGAAGATTCCTAAGGAAAAAAAAATAAAGAAAAAGAAGGGAAGAAAAAGGACCTTGCTGGATATATGAGACCACATTCATTCCACTAATTTACTTGAGACTGGAGAGGTGTGGATAAAAAAAAGAAAAGGAACTCGGTGACAATAGTGTGAGATGGGAAAAGGAAATGGTGACCATTTCATTTTTTTTTTAAAACAAAAACAAAAAAACACTACACTAAGGTGTTTTTACTTATTTGCGCGGGGGCCATGCCAATCTTCTTTTTAAACGGATGTCCCGTATAATAAAACAGGACCGCGATTTTTTTGTGAGGCATTGTAATATAAAGGATGCCCCGGGCACGGTTCCCGTCTTTCAAAAAAAAAAAAAAAAAAAAACCTTCTTTTTCTTTTCACCCCTCTGCGCAGTGACAGTCCAAAATAGGAAAATAGACACCACGAAAGGACGGAAACCGAAAAAGGCGAGACGAAGAGAGAATGCGAAAAGACAAAAAACGGAAAAGGTGAAAAGAATTTAAGTCATATCTATCAACTATTATCTGCGTCTGCGAAGGATTGTTTATTTATTTATTTATTATTATTTATTTATTTATTTATTTTATTATGATTTATTTATTTATTTATTTATTATTTGCGTCTGCGAAGAATGGTCATCGTGTCATTATCTTTTTTGTTCCCATTTGAGATCATGATGTAATTGAAGTCTGATCATTCACGTTCGCCAAGAGAGAGAGAGAGAGAGAGAGAGAGAGAGAGAGAGAGAGAGAGAGAGAGAGAGAGTGTTGGCTGCTGGTGAGAGCGCGGTGCTGTTCAGCTTTTGCGTGAGAGGTGCTAGATAACCTTCACCTTTCGCTGGAAAAAAGCAATTTTGGTCATCTTTTCAATCTACACAGTTCAATTTTGTTAATTGTTGCTTACTTAAAAGTGCGTTTATCATCGTCCACATTGTGAAAGCCATCATCATCATCATCATCTTCTTCTTCCTTCTTCTTCTTCTTTATTATCATCATCATCATCATCTTCTTCTTCTTCTTCTTCTTCTTCTTCTTCTTTATTATCATCATTATCATCATCTTATTCATCATCAGTCAATCATCATCATCATCATCATCATCATCAGCAGCAGCAGCAGCAGCAGCAGCAGCAGCATCGGCATCATCGGCATCATCATCATCACTCCATCAGCGGCATCATCGGCATCATCATCACCACTCCATCACATCATCATCATCATCATCATCATCATCATCATCACTTCATCATCATCATCATCATCATCATCTTGTGAAGAGCCACCTACTCCTGCTATACGTAGTCCTAACGACTATACTCGTTACCATCGAAAGAGCTACGATCTCCTCCTCCTCCTCCTCCTCCTCCTCCCCCTCCTTGAGGTCGACTTTCGAAAGGTATCCCGACGTTGAACCGGTTCGTGGGCACTTTTTCGTGGAATACCTCTCTCTCTCTCTCTCTCTCTCTCTCTCTCTCTCTCTCTCTCTCTCTCTCTCTCTCTCTCTC